CGTTCTCTTGAAATAAATTATCTCTGATATCCAGTGTCACATAAACATCTACTTTTCGTAAACTGTTGTTTAGAATTTTGAACTTTTATTAATGTAGTACTTAATAAAATATCACTTGTGTGAAAAATACCATTAACTTTCCTTATTCATCCCTTTTTGCGATAAATTTGTGTATGCGAAGACAAACTGTTTAACTCAAGTTTGTTCTTTGAATTAGTGTTTCCAATCTGCAAAATAATGTGATGCTTCTTAAAGCAATATTGAGATGCATTTAAATTCTTGCATTTTTTGAGCAAGTGCATAATAGATAAACAATTAAAATAGTAATAATTAGATTTTGCAACATTTATTGTTTGTTGAACCGGCAAATTAAAAATTTCGAGCATTTGACTAAACTATGATCTTTTTACAGTACCATATAAGGCATTCCTCCCGCCTTCCTAGCGTACCTTCGTGGTGTAGTGGTCAGCACACTGAGCCGGTATTTCAGAGGTAGTGATTCGATTCCCGGCGAAGATGATTGCTAATTTTTCATCTCTCCGTCTTTAATGTCTCTACAGTGGCGCTCGAACTAAAAGGGTGTTGGATGAGGATTTTCTACACCCAGGATTTGGCGATTGGGTCCACTAAAAACCGTAGTCGCCCTTTAAAAAGGGAAGCATATAAGGTATATCTCCCGGTTTCCTAGCGTGCCTTCGTCGTGTAGTGGTTCTACACAACGAGCCGGTATTCTAGAGGTCCGTGGTTCGATTCCCGGCGAAGGCGTTGCTTAATTTTTCATCTCTCCGGCCTCAAAATAACCTAATGTCTCTTCAACCACAACACAAAATAACTATCAAAACATTACTCGTATTCTGAAATGCAGATTTAGGTATCTTATTGCTTGTTGATTTTCTATTCTGAAGCTTCTTGCATAGTTCTTTAGAAATTCAATTAATGTCGTAAGTTTGGAAATTTCGTTGTATTTCAGCTGACTTTCCCACTATAATTTTGTAGGAGGATCTAATTTTTATAAAATTAAATAAATCATTAAAGTGACACAAAAATTTTCAAAGATTTGTTTCAACTCTTCTAATGAGGGAATGGTTTCATTAATGTTTAATTTAAAATAGGAATAGCTGATTCATTTTAAATAGTTGGTAAGCTTGGAAAACGTTTAACATATGGAAAACTTCATTTTAAATAGCTGGTAAGAACTTAAGGTTTTGATTTCTGCTTGCTGTACATATCTGTTTGACCGTCATAAATTTCAACACATGGGGATATGGCATATGCGTTTTTCTTTTACCATTGTTCAACAGATTTTGAAAAGTGTAAAGACTTTTCTTAAAAATTTTTAAGGATTATGTTAATTTTATTAAGCGTTAAATTTTAAGTTAAAGTTCCTTTCCTGTCGATTCTTAACTTCAACTTACTACTTCCGGCCAGAACGTAGTTTTAGAATCACGTCTGAATACATAATGAGGAAGAGTGGTATTTAACCGCGAAGTTCTTCAGTTTTAGAGAGAGAGTTACCTGGTATCCTGTCTGCACGCGTCCGCCTTTTTAGGTTACTCTCTCGTAAGCTATTATTACCGTAGCTATTATTATCGGCCGTACTTTAGGCCCTTAATAGCTTCGCAGTCAATTAGCGTTAAGGGGCCAACTCAGTTAGAATCTTGATAGCTTCGGCTATATCTCTTTAGTTTAGATTAGTTTAGTTTGATTCTCAGCCTCTTAAGTTCAAGCCGAAGTGTCGCCTTTTATTGACGGACGGAGTTTTGTTGACGGACGCCTTTTATTGACGGACGCCTTTTATTGACGGACGGAGCCAAGACGGAGTTCTGTTTATTTGAATATTTAATAAAATTAAAAATATTAAAATATCTGTTTATTGAATCTTATTTGAATAATAAAGGGTTATTTACCCTTCCATCTTGTTGTTTCTTGTCACACGAACTCAAGCGATTATTCGCTTATCAATTCTTAAGATTCTTCACGTTCAACAGTAACTTAGCATTTACACTGTGAAGAATCCTACAAATTCATTACTTATTTCTGACAGGTTATGTAAATAACCAAAATTTCCAAAAGTTTTTTTAGTCATTCCAAACGTCCAAGTAACGAATCCAAGCATTCTCTAAACGGATGTAAAATATGTTATTTTTTTTTGTAGTGATTCATCAGGATATTTTTATTGAAATTATAGAGCTTCTTATCTTCGTCGAATTTAGATTCAGTTTTAAACTTTGATACTTAATTCATGTTTTCATACTAACACGTTATTCCTTATTTTTAACCTATTCTTGAACTTTGAATGTATTCTATATTTTAACAAAGCGTTTTTAACTTTTCGAAGATCATAAATGAGGTTTAGTTGATACAACTGTTTGCTGACAGCATTTATTCTGATGAGAAAATTGTGTCAACTAATCAAAAATATAATTTCAGAAAATTTTAAAGTCATATTTTCATGCAATGAATCATCAGTTTATTTTATTTGATATCCTACGAGTCCAGCTGATTTAATTTTACCTTCCAACGGAATATCAGTGCTAATGCAGTATTAAACCGGATGTATACTTCAAAAGAATTGTTCAAAGTTTTGGTGAATCAATGAACAGCTCATAAAATGAATATATTTTAGATTTTATTTTTTATTTTAGTGGTCTATTCTGTCCTTTCATATTTACTTTGTTGTCATGTACATTACAGCTTCTATTTTGTAACAGAATATCCCACTTTTCTTATACGTTTAACTATCGTTTCATATAAATAACAACGTATAAAGTCATCAACTGCAAACAAAATCCGATTACACTGTCACTGAGCGTAAGCAGAGCGTTCTTTAACCGTCGGTACCTACTTTCCTTACGAGGAAAAAAAGGTTATGAGAAATTTTAAGATTATATTGTGTCCCCTAAAAGTTTGGGCCTCGTAGGCTAGGCAGTAATTAGGCCTTGCTTGTGAAATTCTATTATTTCGATTGTTTCATTAAAACATACATGCGAGACGTGAAATAGGAATATTTCTCCCTTCCTATCTCTTTTTACTCTATCTATTTCTTTTCACTCTTTCTATTCTAAATAGCTTAAAAGTATTAATTGAATAATATTTTTAAATATTTTGTTTTTTGGGGTGGAAAATAGCTTATAATACTAGAAAAGTTAAAAAATACTACTTTAGAAATACTCATAAAGGCTAGCAGATAAAAAATGTAAGCAATTGTTGAGAATAAAAATATGGTAAAATATGTATTTAATACTGTAGTATATGTTATCTTGGCAAATATCTATTAAGAAGGTAAAATTATCAAGAAGCTATAATTCGGCACAAAAATACGAAGCCTAACAAGATTCTTATATACTTTAATAATTTGGAGGGCTATTTTGATAGTTAAATAACATTTTATTATTCAATTGTTTTGAACAACATCGTTCAGCAAAAGTACTCTTTAATTTTATTGGCAAGTGTAAATATCGCGTGTTCCATTTCATTCATTTTAAGACCTTAGGTTAATATTAGTCTTTTGAACTGATAAAAATGCTTAATTTAATAAATAATTAAAATTTCCAAATTTTTTTCGGTTGTTCATTAAAGTAATGAAAGCATCATTTAATGAAATTTATGAAATTTCCATTAATTTTTTAATATAAAATAACAGTGATTTCCGAAGTCACCAGCTATTCTTAACTTCAGCCTCGGTACAGTTTTCGAGAGAAACCACAGTTTCATATCAAGTTTCGAATGAGATCAAATTTCTACAAAACTGAGTTGCATTTGTGTACAGAAATATCATACCATTCTTGCAGCATTTATGTTAGAAGCTAGACTAACACTGACACTTTATACAGGATATATGCTTAATTTTTTTTGACAAGGCAAAGTTCCTTTGGGAATCTGAAGTTAATTGAAAGGACACTCGTTATACGATCATTTCAGGCACAGGAATTATTTATGGATTAAAATTACCCGGGTAAGATGGTTTTGAATGATTTAGAAGTCAAAATAAACAATATCATCTGAACATGAACAATATTGTACTAAATACCCTCTTATCACACCTGGCTTTTATTAATTTACTTATTCCCACTTATGTTATTTAATTTAATGTCTATGATATTTATTTTAATTTCTATATGTCTGTGCGTTATTAATTACTTTTAGTTTCACTGTTCTATGTAATCTAAATATTATTAATTACTGTCAATAATTCATTTATCTCTTTGAATTTTAATTATGTTTCAAAACGGATATTTATTGTTTTATTTATTATTATTTTATTTATGTTTATTCACTTGATTGCCTTCCGCAAGGACACTTATTAGTGTAGAAATGAACGCCTGAACTCCAAAGAAATTTATCATTTTTATTTTATAGTATTTTCTTTGTGTTTGGTGATCGATAGTTTCCTTTTTGGTCGACTTAAGTTCTTTAATAAACTTTCTATATGTATCAGACTAAGGCTCTCAGACGATTTCCCTTCTGCGAGGGCATTATTGTTAGGAAGTGGGAAAATGTTCAACAAAATGTGAAAACAGAATTTTTGGGAACAACTTTACATTTTCCTCTTTTTTTTTTTTTTTTTTTTTTTTTGTCATAGCAAATGTTTCACTAAATTTTCTTGCTTGTAATCTTTTGCAGGGTTGTATATTTTTAAAAATTAGATCTTATGTCGATCTATACTCTCACAAAATAAATGCACGTTACAAATTAAAGCATTTTATGTAATTCTTTAATGTATTTTACAAGAAAAAATAAGATTTTCAACAAACTAATTATTTTATAAAAGTTAAAAGGCCATTTTCGGTTAATTTTAAAAGTTTGGTTCATGTTCTACGAAACAAAAAATACATAATTTAACAAAAAGAGTAAAAAAATATTGTTAAAGTAAAAATTGTCGAATTTTATGTGTCTTTGCTTCCAAAAAATACCCAAACAGAAAATTTACACATTTTTCAACAAGTGATGCACTTCTTTGTGGTTATTCGCGCAAATAAGAAATAAAATGAATCATTATGTACAACAATAAAATATTTAATTGTGTTTTCAAATTCTGTGCCGCCTAACTTGACATTTCCGACAGATGGTAAATGCTAAACATAGCGTCAGGCAGACGCATATACCCAGACCGAATCCGATGATCCACCAATACAATTTAAAGTTGTCTCTTGGAAGGACACATAAACTGACATCCTCATCAGCTGTAGTGGCTGGACCTGGACAGTTTGCGACCCCATTACAGACAAGCTCTCTAGTCAGACAAGCCATGGAACTAGTACACAGGAAATCGCAATCCTTTCCTAATGATACTAATGTGTCTGAACTCGTTCGAGAAGGCAACATTCTTAATTGCGTCCATCGAACAGTAAAATTGTAGGATTTCTCAGATAAACGAAGACTCACTGTAACATCCGACTCGAATATATCTTCTTTATGGAAAAGGAGTTCTTGCTCTTCTGACGATGGGCACAAGACAATATTGTTAACTATAGCATGATCGGTACTACAATTGGCTTGTTCAGGCAACCCATCAATTTTCAGTAGTAAATCCATTCTGTGAAATACGGGAATTTTCCATTGACAAGAAATGGGAGTATCTGGACACTGACCTTCTGGACAAGTTCCCGGGCCTGAAATTAAGGGTGGGAAAGTTAAAAGACCTTGCAAATCAAGTTCTAGACGCTCTGGACCACATCTGGACTCTGTGTAGAATATATAACTTCCATTTACAACATGCTTTTGAGGAAGTTTTTTGTCCCACGATGCATCGGCATGGAGAGAAAAGTGCATCATTGGTCCCAAAGATGTCAATGTGTGAGAACGGTGAGTTGATACCTGGAGAACATTGAAAAATCTTAGAAAACTATTAAGTACTTATAACTCACTGCACTTAAAATTAAATTCATATAATATGTTTATAAAATGCTTATTGCAGTAGATTATTTAATAATTATATAAAAAATCATGATATAGAATTTTCAGCCTTATAAAATAGTAGTATTATTTTTAAACAAATTCACTCATGTAAATAGGAGGTTTCCGTAAATATAAAGTTCAAACATGCATCCCAATAAGGCAAAAATTTCAGTTAATGATACGATATTCTTCACTAGTTATGCTCGTTTAAGATATCTTAACAGAGCGATTTTTAGATCTGCTATATCTTAAAATCTCCGAGTTATTTTTGGATTACAAACAGTATTGAAGTATAACAATAATATTATTTGAAATGCACTAAAAACGAGAATAATGTTAATTTGCCATTGCAGCAGTTAATTCGTAAAGACTTCTCTAAAATTTTCAAAATTTAAATTCAAATTAAAGTATTTTGCTTTGTAAACTTATGAATAATTCTTAATATATTTGAATGAATATTCAACTCACTTTGCAGAAGCATATTTTATCTCCAAAACCAAGATGGACTTGGGCATAGAGTGGCTCTTGACGGCAGTCTGAACATTCCTGAGCAAGTTTGAGTGAGGTGAAGAGAGCAAGTTGCACTCTTCCTTGGGGTAGCCGGGAGGCATCGAAAGTGTAATTGCACGTCAGAGTGGTGACATTAGCTTCCCCTAGCGGATGTCCTGATAGCAATCCAGCCATTCCGCCTTCTGGAGTGAAGGTTCTGCTGCAAGTACCGCCATTCAAACTATTCCGGCGAGTGATTACATTTACGGGCCTGACTTCAAATGCGTAACTCAAGGAAGAACCTTCTAAGGATCTAATAATGTTAAGTAGTGAAAGCAAAGGTTACTGGAATGATATAGCTCATAACAACAAAATGTACATTAAGCAAAAAAATATTGCTGAAATATACTATCAGAATACTACTTTTAATATAATGATATAAGGTACGGTAGGAAAAAAAACCTACCCAGCAGAAAATGAAAATAACAAGAGGGTGCAAGTATACATTTCTATGAGAAATACAGTGGAATTTAAGAATTGAAATGTTCATTTCTATTGCACATGCCTGAACAGAACTATTAGTCATTTGTGGTCGCAATGCGCAACTGTGATATTAAAGGAAAGCTTGCTATAGATAACAGAAAGCAAAAATCTGTGTAATGCTGACATAGTTTTTTTTTAAAAATTTGACTTATTTAACCAGTACACGCAAGAGATTTAACAGTTTGCGATTTTTGCTGAAGGACTAATAAAGTTAAAAATCTTCAAAACAAATCATGAACCACTAAATAATTCGACAATGCAATCGGAAGGAAATTCTAGCAAAACCTTAGGAATCGACAAGGGAGTTATGAGGAACTGAGCTTTGAGCATGATCGACAAGACAAAACACTACAGGCCACAAGGTAAAATTGCTCACAGAGACGTAATATTTATGTGAGCTTCAGGCTTGCATAAAATGCAGATTTTTGAATTCTTTTCGATATTTAATTAAATGAACAAGACTATCTAAAAACAAATGAGGGCAAAAGTACGTTTCATAGAATCCCTAAGTTTTTTAATTCTTCAATCGAACCATTTTTCAAATAAAAAAAAATGCGAGGACAGAAAGAAGAATAACCAGAAAAATTTCAGCTTCATTGAGCAGAAAAAACAAAAAATCGTGAAATTAAAGTATGATTTCCCCGCGAAAGCTTTTGTAAAAGTGTAGAATCTATTACTTTATAAAGATTCTAAGGTAAAGTGAATAGCAATAAGAGAAATAAAAAAACCTCTTCTTGTATTAGACATCAAATCTTATGAATCAGGTTAAATGGTTTATGTGATTTTTAGCTTTCATTATTGCTTTTTAATTCCACTGCCCTTTTTTAAGAAAAATATAAGATACCTAATATAAACTCGCCGGTGAGCGCCAGCTTATTTGTGTTTAATGTGTTTTTATGTTTGGAAAATGGTTTTTGTAAAGATGAACAAAGATGTTCTGATTGGAAAATGGTTTTGTAAAAGATGTACAAAAATGTATCTCGTTTAACAGCTTTCAGAAATGATTTTTTTAAAAAGACATTATTGAAATCATTTCTGCATGGAATTCAAAGAAAATAAATATGGATAAATACAATAACTTAACACAGTTTGAAGACTATGAGCTTTCAGTAGAAGAAAAATTCACTGTTTTGAATTTGAACAGAATTCTTTTCTGATTCATTTTCGAAGGCATATTATTTTCGCAATTTACATTCCTCTTTTCAAGTTCAGTATTTACAATCTCTTTAATTACTTTTAATTAATTTACTTTAAATTTTCGATTTTATGTAAAGAGCCTTATTTCTACAGTAATATTGCTGTCAATAATGTATATATAAGCTATTCTTATCTGCCCACTATTTTTTCCCGGAATTATTTTCGCGTTCTTTAATTTTTTTGTAAATGCAGTCTCCACATTTTTGAATTTCCACCGAGGTATCTATTTTTAAATTTTGTTGCTTTCCAATTTTAAGTAAAGAGACCAAAGTATGCAATAATACTGCTGTCAGAAATATATATTTTAGCCTTTATTATTTGCTGTCTCTCTCTTCTTGAGACTGTTATTATAAATACAGTATAAGCATTTTTAACATTCCATTCCTGTGACTTTATACACTTTGTGGTTTTTTAAAATTTTTACTTAATACTTTTTTCATTGATAATTTTATAATATATTCATCATATTTTATGTTATCCTTTCATGTGCAAAGTTAATTCATTAAAACCTATAAAAATTTAATAATATAAGCAATAATAACATATTTTAAGAGGAATAGGTATAAATGTTAAAAGAAACGTTTACAGTCATGTAGAATATCAGCTTTTGATTTAATGCATTTAAATCATACTAAAGTGAAACGGTCTCGTCCGAACATGATGATTTCCGAAATTACAGAATATCTGTAATATTTTGTTTGCTTTTTATATGCAGTGGTAAAAACAGTGAGGAGTGAGAATCATGAATATTTAAATATTCTAACGAAGCCCCCCCCACAGTTCGTTTTATTTAGGTGCATTCTAAGAGAAACTGGTGTGCAGGTGCCCTTCTCCAAAGCATATTTAAATTTTTCCCATTCACAAAAAACTTTTGCTTAAATTTTATATGATTTAATGCAAATATGCCTTTAAGATTTTGCATAAATTTTGTGCATAATGTAAGCAATTTGTTTAATGATTTAAGTTTACTTAAACAGACTATGTAATAATACTTAACCATAGCTGGTGTAAAGGGTTCAAAGTATAATACGTTTTATAAAATGTATGAAGAGCGCAAACTACTGAAATATTTCCATAACTGGGATATTTTATACATTCTTCAGTACACATTAATGCTATTTAAATGCCCAAATATAAATAAAATAGCTCACAGTCTATGAAAGTTAAATATTAAAGCTTTGTCTACAAAATTTCCTACGCACTCTCCCAAACATATATAAAAACATAATTTTTAAATCCCTTCCTTAGATAATAATTTTGAAATATACAGAAACTGCTGTTGTTTAAAAATAGCATAAATTTCAAAAATAAATATTTTTGCTACTTCTAAATAGTACAGCTGGGACAGTTTGCATAAAAGTGAAATAAAATTTTAATTATAAATAATGATAAATTTTAAATTATTTTCACGTAATTAGAGCTTGATTCATACAAAATAAAACTGAAGCAATTTATTAATTTACGGTCAATTACTGGGAAGTGAAATTTGATGTACATAAGGTTATGTTTTGTTCAGAATTTTCAGTTTTGCATCTGAATACAATCTGCCATCGAAAAGTTAAATTAAATTTAAATATCTTAATTTTCTTTGAAAGGGGATAACTTGTTAGCCTTTTTCCAAAAGCGTCAAAATCCTTAAGAAAACTAGAGGAAAAGAAAACATGTTTTATGCACTTGGTTTACGAAAACAGATACCATTCATACTGACGGTATGCTTTCACTTCGTAGCATATAGACTGGCTGATATGATTTACCCTCACAGTTTTTTTTTAAATGAATTTTAAAAAGATGTCGAAATTCATGAAAATGTCATTGATACTAAGATTGTCTGTTGGCTTGCAGTAAAATTTAATATGATGATGCATTCCTTAAAATAAATGCATTTCAAATGACCTAGACTCAGAGCAGACAAATGGTTTTGGTCTATCTCAATTTGTCTTGAATACAGCATTTAAAAAGGATATATTATACCCAGTGATGTCACTTAGATTTTGTGCAGAATTAACTTAACGTAAATAGTAAGTTCTTTTATTGAGTATGAAAAGTGCAGTTCAAACTTAAATTTTTATTTGGATGGCTTTTTAGTGCGTGTAAGACTGTGTTTCACTATTTTCTGATGTTTTCAAAACCCAGCCTTAACATTTTATCTTTGTGTTGTTATTATAATACAGAATTAAATAAAACATAAAAATAATTTTTTCACGTAATTGTAGCGTGACAAAAATTACCCAATTCTGCTGTTAAATTCCACAAATAGTCCTGGTCCCGATGTCTCGTATATGGATCTTGGATGTTCTGTTCTGGGTTTATTGATATCGCATAATTTTGATATTATTTTTGAAGGGTCTGCAGAAGAACTGTCATATAATTTGAGAGACTCTTCACACAACGTCACTCTTTCCATCCGGAAGAATTCAAAAGTCAGTTTCAAGATTTCGTCTTCGGATGAAGTGAACCTAAAACATACAGATCATAGCAGTAACAAATTACTTACCAAATAAGCACAGCAGAATAATGTGCGAAATTTTAATTTATTGAAACATATGATTTTGTTTTGGTAAAATCATTACAGATTGCCCACACAGATTCTGTTTCACGAAGCAGAATGTTTTCAGCAAAAATCATTTCATAAAGTATTATTATTTTAATTTTATGCACATAACTCTTTATTTTTTCCAGTTATGATAAGTGCCAAATTGTTTTACTTGCTTCATATAAATAGAATAAAATGCCCATGTTGTAACTATAGCGATACAGAAGGGAATAAATAGGTAATAACGAAGAGTTTTTAATTAAATTAATTTATTACTTTATTGGACTTGTGATTAACAATATGCTGAAATTGTATGCTTTCTCAATATTATAGATGTCAACTCCTAGAACTATAAAGAGAATCAGATGCCTTTTCATCCTGTCTTAACTCTTTATAGAATAATATTTAATCAAAAGAAGGTTTAAGATAAACCTTTTTACATTATCGTCAACCTCACGGTTACAGAGCCTACTAAGTAACAGAAAATAAAATCTGGACACCTTGCGGAAAAATAAAAATATATGCTCACGTAAAATTAAAATGTTAAAGGCAAAGTAACACTCATCTAGAAGCTTTAGCTCAGGCTCCCAATCTGTAACGAATCAATTACGATTAGCAGAGCTAAAGCCAAAGTAACTAATCTATTTGCACGAAGAAGTAATACAGTGATGGTCAGCGATAGGTCTCAAATTTTCTATCGTGAGGTCAAGGACACTGTGGTTAAATACATTAACTAATCTGAATCTTGGTGAGAGTCGACGAAAATGGAAGTGCAGACAAAATAATAAGATAAATAATTACGTAACACAAAATCCTAGAAAATTATGAAAATAAGATGGAATAAATGAATCGAAATAGTAAGTTAAGAGAGGAAGTCTGTCGGTTTATTACGTACCTTTAGCGAAAGGATAAAGATTAATTTGTTGGAATTTGTGTTTTTCAAACTACATTACATGATTAAATAATTAAACACTTTATAACACCAGCTATTATGATTTAATCAAATCTACTGAATAATACTGCTGAGCATGGAAAATGAGGAAAGAGCTTCCAACAGAATTCAGCGGTATTTATTTCAGAATTTTAGAAAACAAGACCGTTGAACTGAATTCAGTGAAACAATATGTTTAATATTTACAGCTGTTTTTATCAGCTGTTTCGCTTAGATAAAATTTATGTCTAGACAAACGTGAGAAGAAATCGCTTTGAACAAATGACTTGATTTTGATAACATAAATAAACGCTTTTTTTAATCCTTGTACATTTGAGTTTCTTATTAATTTACATCTGTAAATAATTACCCTTTAAACTGACTGAATTAATTTTACTTTTCTCTTCCTTTATTGAGATATACATTTTTTCCTTATTCAATTTGAGTTTTATTCTTGATCATAGATTTTAAGGTTTTTCTGATAATAGTACTAATACATTTGATATATTTTTGCATGTTTTATACACACTGTGTTCTTAAAGATACGCCCTTTCTTTTCACAAATTATTGGTCGTAGACGTATACTTCTAGCTAGAAAAATGTTTCAGATGACGCAATTCATATTTTGGCGTCTTTAAATTTAAATAATTAATTTTGTAAAAATTATGAATCTAAATTTTTATACGCTTCTTCCAATGATCCCTATGGGTATATTTAGTAAAAGTGTATGTTTATTCTAATTCATCATAAACACTAAAGCGCAATAATTTTAACTCCTGTGCAATAAAAGTTAACCAAGATATATAATTTTTTAATGTATAGGAGTTTTTTAGATTTTCCAGTGCCTCAAAATTAAACTTATTGCCTTCCTTTAGCTGTCGGTTAAAATTAGTTGAGATAGTTAGAGGTTGATTTTTTAATTTATTGCCATTCAGTGATGTTCTTTTATGATTTACTAATGGTGTAACATTATTTAATTTACATTTTGTTACATTTGCTCGCCGAAACAAAATTTTCATGAAGGCAGTTTATAAGTTTTCAAATGTTAAAAATACGTCCATAATATTCACATGAAGTTTTATGATTTTCGTTTCATAATCTAATTGGACTAAAATATTTATTATTTTAAATTTGCTACGAATGCGCTATGGACATACACTTAGAGCTTGCCTCAGTTTTCTACAAGATAAATTCTATAACAAGGGAATAAACATGATTTTTGAAAAATCAGTATTGGTCAACACATTTTCAACAGTCTGCATATGACTGCATGTAACTTAATGTTATTTCATTTTTAGTTACATAAAATTCATATATTTCGCTCTTAAGTTTGTGCTTTCTCACTTTTAAATTTTCAGAAAACGTAGTTTGATATCTTAAAATTAAATACTTCTACCAATTTTGTAGTATGGAAGTCATACGTTTTGGGTTTATTTTTTAGAATAACAATAAACTCTCATTAAACAAAAATATAGCGACGGTATCCATCAAAAATTAAATTTTGTAATTTCTGCAGAATTAACTTTTTAAATTTAAAATACCAAAATAGGAATATTTGCGTCATTTGAAATATTGTTGCAACTGGAAGTATATGTCAACATTTAGAGGCTGCGAAAACAATGGGCACATAAGGAGGGTATACTAATATATCAGGGTATACTAATATATAGAAATATGATATCAGATGATTTTTTAATCGATAATTACCTGTAAGTGCATGTTGTGTTGACTGGATACCAAGAGCGTAAATGTCCAAAGGTAGCAATATCTCCCGACCGAAGGTGTCGATCTATGGCGCAGGTACCATTGCTATCTAGATGTAAGAATTCATATTCTGTTTCCGTTTCTGCATGGACACTCTCAGCTTTAAAATGAAATCCTGTGTTAAGAAGAGGGCCAGCAGTGGATGTCACAAACTCGACAAGCATCTCGGACCCAGATGCCACGATCTGTGATTTTAGACGTCCACGACCTGGAAACGAAATCAGTAAGTGATTTGACGTGATTTAAGACTTTACGTTTCAAATACATGTATTTGTTGACTAAAAATACATATGTTTGTTGACCAAAAATGCTTAAAATTTAAATGCATTTTTGGGATTTATATAAATTTTGCTATTTTTCTAAAAACATTTATTTTTTAACATTATATGTTATCGTTTTTAAATTTGGACAAGATTAGTTGCTATAAAATATTAGTTATATTAATATTTTAAATTGTAATATTAACATTTTTAAATATAATATCAATATTTTAAAATATGATATTAATATTTTAAAATATATCTCCATTTTCTAATAGTTTCAGAATTTGCTTTATGCAGTTTGTTTTCATGATCTCTTATTTATAATCTCTTTTATTATGATCACTGAACCAGCCTATCCTCAACGAATAGAAGAAAAGAGGTAACTATAAAAATAAGTCGCGCAGAGAAAGTTTAAATTTAAAAAGAGATAACGCAAGAGACGTACAAAAGAGACGCACAAAATAAAGCTTTAAAGATACCTTGAGTGTGTTGCATAACATAAAATCAAATTTATGAAATTTGAGAAAAAATAATTCTTTACTTGAAAAGTTCTTGTTAACTTTTCATTGCATTCCCCTCCTCTCAAATTCTTATGCTGAAGTCTTATGTCTTAAAATCTGAAGTCCTATGGTAAGTAAAGCCGTAAAACAATCCCAGCTGCGAATTTCCATAATCCCATTGATCATTCCCCCTCACTTTTTCTCACAAATCATGTTAAGCTCAGAAGTTATTTTAACAGTTTGCTAAGAACAATTACGGAGTATATTTCAATGTTTATTATTATATTCTTATTAAAAACGTAAAATATAAAAATTTTCCTGTCTCTCCTAAATACAGACGTTCTGAACTTTAAATAATCCAGATCAAACATAAAATTAATTTATGATAATTTTTTTGACTTAATGTATTACCTAGATGCACGTAATAAACCTTTTTGTATTTTTAAAAAGAACAATTCTAAACCCTTCGCTTTCAGGTTTTAAGCCAAAGTTAATTCAGTGTCATAAATTTACAGCCCAGCATTAGATAATCAATAATAAAAACATTCTGACCACATAATGTGACAATAAGAGGGCTGTCTTCTGTAGCACCATCGTAGATCTTTACATAATCGAATGGGCAGTCGGCTGGATCTCGCGTAACTGGCCTGGGAAAGCAAAGCAGGAGGTTGTCGCATCTCAAGCCGTCCACATCAAATGCGTTCATATCCAGTGCTACGACACTTCGGCTCACCACCAAGGTATAACGGCAGCGGAGATTTCTGAAAAGATATTATTAAGTACGCCACATTTATGAACATCCTTACATTAATGTTGTTGCGGGCTACAACAAAACTGTGGCAAATACGGTATATCTACAGACATATACAACAATATAGTATCCCATATAGGCTCATAACATACAAGTGTATTTGCCATTCTATACCATATTAATCACAATTTTTTTTAGTTGGAAACTGTCATGAAATGTAAATTGATCTCACATCTTCCACTGAGGTAAAATTAAGTTCTCCGATTATAAGCAATCTATGTTATTAATAATCATTAGTAATTCCACTAAGACTTCATTAATCCATTTATAATAATAAATTCGATATGCTGATATTATATTCTTAAGGGAATATTCTTTTTGAATAACTATTCTTGCGAAAAATAAAAATGATGTTTTAACCATTAAGCTAGTTATGATTTTCTCACCAGTCACCATCTAAGCAATAGTCTTCTCGGCCATTAATCAAGTGTGAATTACTGTTCATCTACCCCACAAACTACATCACACACACACTTACACATGCATATGCATATATATAATGTTTATTGGGAAGCGTTTGACAACTGAATTTTCTTCATCTACACGAGGTGTGATAATTGATTACATTGTGCAACACATAATAATAAATAATGTTCCATCAGCGATAATGTCCCATCAGCGACCGAGTGTTCTAGTCGTTAAACACTGGTAGTTTTGTCCGGAATTCGAATTCCAGTTAACGGACGGGTTGCGTGGGCAGTATCGTGTATTTCCCCGTGTGTTACATGTATACGACACAATTTCCTTTAGATAATTCTACAGAAAGGCATCCTTCCTATTAGGTAGGTGGCCCGAGTGCTTTGCCAAAATCTACTAAACCAGAGCCATAACGATTAATAGTTACAAATATAAAAATAATAAGCACGACAAGCAATTATAAAGAAATTGAAATTGAAATGAAAAAAAAAATGCCAATACATGCACTAATAAGAAAAATCTGATGTGAATACCACATGACTTCCTTGTACGGCTTATTAAATTATGCACATTTTTTGCTGCATTTCATTTAAACTTATTACCCTGAATTTCATTGCAAATATATTTCTGATTCAAGGAATTCAGTTCTCACTTCGGGGCAAGGAAAAAATACATAAAAACTGAAAACATTTTCATTAAAAAAGAATAAAATGCAGAAAAACCTAAAACATCAAACAAAAACCGTTAAAAAAGCAAGTTTTACATTTAAAATTAGCAGAAAGGCAGATTTTTCGATGCAAAAAACTTTTGGTCCCACTTAGCAAAATGACACTAGTTGGTGCAGAAACTGACTTATTTACGATGCTACTAAGTTTCAAATGTAAACAAATAACAGCGCCGTTAGGCGTAGTGGAACATAAATAACTTTTAAATTGTTGATAATTCTACAACTATTGCGTGCAGATTACAACTACAGGCATAAAAACTTTAACCGGAACATAAGAACAACATACTTGTAATTCAATCATGTTTAAACCAAAATATGGCAATTTAACAACTTAAAAGAATAAAAATCTTAGCTCATCGAGCCGGATAACAGAGTAGGTTATACGGTGTCCGCCGATAACATCGCGGACGAAAACGTCGCGGGGAAAACAACGCAAGGCGAAAACGTCGTGCTACAAAACATCGTGGGAGAACACATCGCAAAGAGAAAACATCGCAGTTCTAAAACATCGTGGTACAAAACATCGTCGTCGAAAATAAAGCGGTTCAAAAACTTCGCAGTTTAAAAATATCGTCGTCGAAAATATCGTGGTAAAAAATAAAGTATCTACAAATCGTCGCATGACGATAACATCACAGACATGCTTTTTTCAGGCTTTAATAACTGTAAATGGATATTCCCATAATGATTTGAGAGCGCAAGATGTAAAGAAGGATAATTTTTACTTTCATATTTTTTATTAAATATTAAATTTTTGCTGAGAGAATAAGAAGAAAACTTAAGCATAGAAAATTAATGCAACTTATAGCACTTAATAGAATTTTAAATCGATATAGTTAACTAACAAAGACCATTAATGAATAATTTTTTATAAAGATTTTACAGGTAATTTTTCATAAAAAGTATAATTATTAAGTTGCATTTAATTTTCTATGCTTAAGTTTCCTTCTTATTTTTTCAGCAAAACTTTATTAGTTAATAAAAAATGTGAAAGTAAAAATTATCCTTCCTTACATCACTTGCGCTCACAAATCATTATGGGAATATCCATTTACATTTATTAAAGCCTGAAAAAAGCATGTCTCCGATGTTATCGTCATGCGATGATTTGTAGATACTTTATTTTTTACCACGGATATTTTCGACGGCGATGTTTTTAAACTGCAGAACTTTTTGAATCCGCTTTTATTTTCGACCTACGATATTTTGTACCACGATGTTTTAGAACTGCGATGTTTTCTCTTTGCGATGTTTTCTCCCACGATGTTTTGTAGCACGACATTTTCGCCTTGCGTTGTTTTCTCCGCGACGTTTTCGTCCGCGATGTTTTCGGCTGTAACCGGTTATACACATATATTTGCATGCTTTTGGTGCGACAGATTGCAACCGAAAATGAAGTCGCATATCTACATTTCATAACAATCCCATATACAAAATTTCGACGTTCTGAGCCAACTCGCTTTTTAGTTATGCAGAATGGTGTCCGCCGATAACATCGCGGCAAAAACATCGCGGACAAAAACGTCGCGGAGGAAACAACGCAAGGCGAAAACGTCGTGCTACAAATCATCGTGGGAGAAAACATCGCAAAGAGAAAACATCGCAGTTCTAAAACATCGTGGCACAAAACATCGTCGTCGAAAATAAAGCGGTTCAAAAACTTCGCAGTTTAAAAACATCGTCGTCGAAAATATCCTGGTAAAAATTAAAGTATCTACAAATCATCGCATGATGATAACATCGCAACAGACTGCTTTTCTCAAATTTTAATAATTATAAATGGATATTCCCGTAATGATTTGGGAGCGCAAGATGTAAAGAAGGATAATTTTTACCTTCACATTTTTTTATTAACTAACAAATTTTTGCTGAAAAAGTAAGAAGGAAACTTAAGCATAGAAAATTAAATGCACTTATAGATTATACTTCTCATGAAACATTACCAGTAAAAACTTTATATAATAATGATTTGCTAATAGTCTTTGTTAGTTAACTATGTCAGTTTAAAATTCCATTAAGTGCTATAAGCTGCATTAATTTTCTATGCTTAAGTTTCCTTCTTATTTTCTCAGAAAAAAATTAATTAGTTAATAAAAATATGAAAGTAAAAATGCCATGCTAAAGCCTGAATAAAGCATGTCTGCGATGTTATCGTCATGCGATGATTGTAGATACTTTATTTTGTACCACGATATTTTCGACGACGATGTTTCTAAACTGCGAAGTTTTTGAACCGCTTTATTTTCGACGACGATGATTTGTACCACGATGTTTTAGAACTGCGATGTCTTCTCTTGGCGATGTTTTCTCCCACGATGTTTTGTAGCACGACGTTTTCGCCTTGCGTTGTTTTCTCCGCGACGTTTTCGTCCGCGATGTTTTTGCCGCGATGTTTTCGGCTGTAACCATGCAGAATACATTCATACGGTGCGCACGTACGTACAAACGTCAAGAAAAAAATCTCTTCTGAATCCATTTTAAATCTATTTCACGATCCGTTTTGGGAAAACAGTCCTTTATTTTCTCTGTGGGTATAGATGTAACTCAGAAACATTGTTCAAATGGAATCGAGAGCCGCCAAAATGGATATTTTCGTTAAAATACGATACCCGAATTTTTTTGCGATTACAATACTTCCTTTACTTCGTAGAAGGAAGTAAAAAAAAAAGAAAAAGAAAAAAAGAAAATCTTCCAAGTTCCTTGTAATCGTGTGCAAAAACTGATGCTTTGTGAAAAAATTTTGTTAACTTCTTAAGCAATTTCTAATCCTAAATGTAAATAATCGGGAAATCATAGTTAATTTTTAAAGTGATTCAGAGAACTGTTAAGGAAGAGTACATTGTTTTTAATATTTGCTGTTGTTGAAGAGATATTAGCAAGGATTTTTAAAATGCATAGTTGTACATAATTTCGACATAAGCCACATTTTTTATCCCATTTATCTCCAAGAACATATGAGTTGTAACATTTTATAATATTTAAGCCAGATTTGGTAAAGATTTCTTCATTTTTAATTGCATTGAAAGATAATGTTTAATTTTGCTATAATTATGTTTAAAGTTAATAATTAGTTAAACATAATTATTTCCAAAAAAGATTTGACGAAAAAGCTTAACGGGAAAATGCATTAAAAATGGTCTACTGAAGGTGGAGTGCAAACTGGACTCTATCGCATCAATACGCTCCGCTGTGCTTTGTTGTAATAAATTTAAAGTAGTCTAAGTCACGTAATGGTACTTAAATGTCAAAGGAACAAAAAAGAGATTTCTTAGCTATTAACCCTAATTCCTTTGTAATTTGGTAACATCTCATAAAATTGCTTCATTTTAGCATATCAAGATAATCAGATTAGGAGATTTCGTGAAGTAAATCTAAAACTAACCTAATGTATTCCTCGAATGCGTATTCGAAAGGAAAAAGAAAGATCTGGGAATCTTTTTTATGTCGAAATCACATGCTCAAGACGTGGGCAATCGATATAAAACGACTTGAAATAACACATTAAAAACTACATGAAACTACAAAACGTTGATAGTTTGGTTGTGAAGTTAATATTTTTGAATAGAAAGCCTTAGACAAAATTGTTTTAATATAATTATTTTTCAGAAGAAATTATACAGTTTTCTAATTAATGAGGACAAATTATTATTCATCTATGACTATTTCTGTGAACTAACAATATTCACCACAGATCAAAGTAAGTATAAATCTGACTCAAATAATTGTATTTTAATCGATTGTCAAAAATTGTTTTAAGTATGTTTTCATTTAATGAGCGCTTAGATGTTAAAATAATGACTCCAGATTGAAAACATAAAAATTTAGCTTCATCGGTAATGAAAGTCGAAAGCTTTTGTTACCTAGCAGTTATGATGTTTATTACAATAACTTAGGACTTCCTTTAACGTCTAAAGCAATGTGCATTTATTACATTGTTTAGTGTTGTTCATCACAGCTAGGTAAACCTTTTATATTTCAGCCGTTAAGAGTAAGTGGGCGTCCTTTCAAATTTGGGTACATTTGAGAGCTAAAGTCAAAGAAAGCATGAGGTTTCGAATAAATTGTTTACAACTGCTCTAAAACTTTCAGCCTGAAGAAGTCAGAGTAATTTAATGCTCATAACTTTTGCAAGATTTAATATCTACTTTTTTATGGAGTGAAAAACCGTACTATATTGTTATGGATTTTATCAACATAAAGTTCAGTATTTTAAAACTGGCAAAATTGCAGTATCATCAAAATGAATAACCGATTAGATATGATGTTATTCTACACAGTTAACTTTTTCTAGGAAAGCGAGATACAATATAAAAGATTTGAAATGATTTTACAATTCAAACTATTAAATGAAACGTTCATATTTTGAAAGGGCAAAATTTAGTAAACTTAATAGACTGTATAAGATCTTCTCAGTTACTTTATGCAAACCTAAAACCTCAATCGCAGTTAGAGCAATCTACAAAATCAGTGCAGGAAACATAGAAATTTAACAACCTCTTGGAATCACGGAGAAAAGAAATAGATTCATGGTAATTGAGAGGATGGGTAGATCTACTGGAATTAAGCTTGACTATATTTGTATCTCTGGACGTGTAATGAATCAAAGTAAATTCAATACGAATTTATCATCTTTAGATATAATTGAAAGGTTTAGTCAAGCTATTTTGAATGTGTGTTTCATGGAAAATTTTATAACTTTCTTTGCTAGTTTCACTCCAATCAGAATGCTATGCAATAGAGTAATAATAGCTTGTAAGGATTATGTTAATTTTATTAACAGTTAAATTTTGAGTTAAATTTCCTTTCCTATCACTTCTTAATTTAAACTTACCACTTCCGGCCAGAACGTAGTTTTAGAATCAGGTTTGAATGCAAAAGGAGGAAGAGCGGTATTTTACTGCGAAGTTCTACTGTCTTAGTGAGAGAGAACGAGAGATTCTGTCTAGCAGGCGTTCGCTTTTTTAGGCTACTCTCTCTTAAGCTATTATTACTCTCGGTCGCACTTTAGGCCCTTGATAGCTTCGCAGTCAATTAGGGTTAAGGAGCCAACTCCGTTAGAATCTTGATAGCTTCGGATATATCTTTTTTAGTTAAGATTTAGTTTAGTTTAGTTCTCAGTCTCTTAAGTTAAAGCCCTAGTGTCGGCTTTATTGTACAACTCCAAGACGGAGTTCTTCTAAACCTGATTGGAATAATAAAAGGTTATTTCACCCTGCTATCCTGTTGTTTCCCGAACTCTACAATCATAGTGTACTTGATCTTGCATTGTGTATCTATTCGTATTGTGTACCTATCTGATTTCGCATTGCGTAACTATCTATAAGCATCGTGTATCTAATATAAGCACTGCGTAACTACTCAAAGTATATAAGCATTGTGTATATTGCTTGTATAAGTGCAAGCAATCTACTAGTATTCTACAGTTGTCTACATGTTTTATGTATGTTTTATATGCGCATTTTACATGTGATCTATATGTGTCTTTAAATGTGTAAATGTATAATAATATTAGCTTAATTATGTTTCATTATAAGTATATGTTTTACTTGTGTGTGCAAACTAATATTTAATTTTTATTATTCTATAATGTGTTTACATGTTTTATATGTGTTATATATGTGCTCTTATATGTGTTTTGTATGTGTCTTTATATGTACAAGTATAAGTGTATGTGTTTGTATATGCTACAATTTGTGTCTAACAAACCAAGATGTAACAAATCATTCGCCTATCGATCAAAACTAATGTATTCTTAAGACGCCCCTTGTGATACTTCTTTGGCGATATGAAGCAACTCCAATGATGGAACACAGCAATAACTTTTATTTAACATTAAAAAAAATGGCGACATACAAACAAGAAGAGAAAACATATTCTCACATTTAAAAATAAATTACATTCTTCGTGCGAGAGTCGCACGAGGCACTCGAGTCTGGTTTCAAATATTGCCATTCACAAATACCTTAATGTTCATCTATTTAAATTATTTAAACTACAAGATTTTAATATTATCTAAAGCTGTTACAACCTCTCCCCCAACGGAGAGACTTTTCCCGAAGGGAAAAGTTCTGTAAATTTCGAAAGTTTATAAGCTCGGCTTGCTCATTTGCTTAAAGAGAAAAGATAACTTCTCTCATAAGTTTCCAAATTTTCAGGCCGAAAATTTTTAATTTTAAACAAATATTTTTACACCACATTTAAATAGAAAATAGACAGTGTTCAAATTAGTCTTCCTGTTTTCCCTTGACGGCGCCTAGATCTCTCCCATGTTGGACCAGTTCCTCGGTTATAATTCTTAGCAAAGCCTTTCCTCAGTTTACCTGTGCCTTTCGAATAATATTCAATTGTCATTTGTTTCGACAATTGTTTTCTTCGTCTATTAGTAGCGGCTTTTATATTAAATCAAAAGTCGAAAGATGATGATAACGCTGCATTGCAAAATTATTCTCAATATTAATTTCTTTATCGTTTTTCAAATTTTCGTGAACATCTTCCACGTTTAATTCTGGTGATTTAACTTCTTCTTCAAATACATCTCTGGATGCTTTATTTTCTTCCTTCATCGGTTCCAAGATCTGCTCTTCAGATATTTTTCTTTTCCTTTGAGCTCTAGTTAGAAACGGCATTAAAATGGTATCACTAAGTTTACGTTCAAGTGATAAAATAATAAAATAAGGCAGTTCAGTGTTAACAGGAAGTAATAACCTGATATCACTAATATTACGTTCAGTGATGAACTAGTAAAATAAGGCAATTCAATATTAACAGGGAAGTAATAACCTGGTATCACTAATATTATGTTCAGTGATGAACTAATAAAATAAGACAATTCAATATCAACAGGAAGTTATAATATGGTATCGCTAATATTGCATTCAGTGATGAACTGATAACATAAAGCAATTCAAAATGAAGAGGAAGTAATAATCTGATATCACTAATATTGCATTCAATGATGAACTAATAAAATAAAGCAATTCAATATTAACAGGAGGTAATAATCTGGTATCACTAATATTATGTGTTCAATGATGAACTAATAAAATAAAATACGCACGATTATTCGATTTCGTCGGTGCTCCAAATAATTAAGACTGTGATACTTCTTGGCGATTGAAGCAACTCCAATGATGAACACAGCAATAACTTTTATTTAACATTAAAAAAATGGCGACATACAACAAGAAGAGAAACATATTCTCACATTTAAAATAAATTACATTCTTCGTGCGAGAGTCGCACGAGGGCCTCGAGTCTGGTTTCAAATATTGCCATTCACAAATACCTTACTGTTCATCTATTTAAATTATTTAAACTACAAGATTTTAATATTATCTAAAGCTGTTACACCCTGTATGGCCATGCACAATTACATAAAATTCTTCAATAAACTCCCGAGGTGGCCTCATGAGGCTCCAAGGAGTTTCTGCCACTAGATAGGGGAGGGCGCGGGGCGTATGCCTGTTTACCTCTGTTAAACACCAGGCATCCCCGTCCTCCGTCACCTGTCACACGAACACAAGCGATTATTTGCTTATCAGTTCTTCAGATTCTTCACATTCAACTGTAACTTAAGGTAAACAGTACAGAATCTTCTATCAAACTATGTTGTTGTAAATGTTATATGTGTATTACCGATGCGTTAGGTTTCAAAAGAGTAACGTATTTTAAAAGCTATCGAAATTACATTATATTTCTCTTCATTCTATCCGTTTTCATCTTTTACTTCTTCAGTACAGCAATATAAAAATGAAGAATTCTTTACTATTAATTGAATTATAAACTCTAAACAGTATAGCCAAAAGATATTTAAATTCACATTTAAATATATAGCAGAACTGAAATACCTGCAACCTCAGGCTATCTGGATAATCATTAAATTTGGATAATTGGCTTTTTTGACGAAATAATTATACTTTTCAACCGATATTTTATCTTCGGCACAAACGAATAACACGATGGCTACAAAATGTTGACAGAAAATTATTGATTACAGTTATTTTGCTCACAGTAAAACTGAAATTCGTGAGTGGAGTAATCGAAATAATGCCATTACTTTTGGCAATTTAATTTTAGAGAAAGGATGCTGTTATGGCTAAGTAATGATACAAAATATAAACAGCAATAAGCATATGTATAACACATAATATTTGTCCATTAATGTTTACAGGCTACATGCTGATATTTGTCGAAAATGGTAGGCCCACCCGCATCTAATATACATTGAGCTAAATCAGTTTAAAAGAATACGTATTGCACTGCATTCTCTTTTTATAATATTTAAAGCAGAAAAAAATTAAGAACATGTAAATAAATGTTCAATAAACTCAATTTTATTTGGCCTAAAAAATAAAAGGCCATATGTTTATTTAAATTTGTATGAGATCTGATGTTGAATTAAATTTGCTATTTTACGTATAAATAAATTTTTGCCAGTAAGTATTTGTCAGTAACTTTTGTTTTTCTCAGCATTTTACATATATTTTAAAATTAATATTATACAATAAAGAATTACTGAAAGAATGTTTCGAGAAAATGCAACGAACCTGGGATATATTCCTGGAAATCCTGGAGATTGTACAAAGCAGCGAGTGGGAGCACAACCGTGAAAAGTTCTTTCGCAATATGATCCCGGTACAGGAGTTCCACGACGATGAGGATAAAGTTGTGCATATTGGCCATACCGGGCGTGAACCTGAAAACCACATGGCAAAACAGTTTAATCTATTAAATAAATTTTGTTTGCTTTGTCATTAAGTTAGATTATGGAGTTCATTAATAGTTTTATGACACTAATCTACTTCCATATTCATTAGTTTATCCACTTGTTTTAGTATCTGCTTTAATTATTTTTTACCTGAATTTAGACATAGTTTTATTTAAATTTTGTTTATGGTTAAACTTTTAATTTCGAGAACTTAATTTAAGGATTGTTAAATTTTTTAAATGAATTTTTTTATCAAATGTTACATTATTTTCAATAATTTTAAGGCAACTCTTTTACTATTCATATTTTGTGGCCTTACTGGTGAAGTACTAGATGCATTTCGAAGGTCTTATTTAAATTCTTCTTTGTTTCCTATTAAGAACGATCACAGATGAAGCTGCAGTCTAACTATAAAAAGAAAATGTCAAAAGCTATCTCTTAAAATTGAATGCTTGGATAATTATAGTTGTTCAAGAGGATACAGGCCATAATTAGAATCTTATTTCTAGAAAACAACATTTCCCTTTGCTCCTGTAGCCTTTTCCAAGAATCCTAGATGGTCTTCAGCTAACAATGCAGGCTGAGAAGCCTAATGTTTTGTGTATCAGCAGTTCCTAGTTAAATTTTTCTCTTTGATAGATTGCAACATTTCAGCTTGTCGGTTGGATAAAACTCCAGTTTTTCTATTATACTGGAGGATGTAAAGATTCAGGATATTTTAATAAATCCTGAATCTTTACATCCTCCAGTAGAGAGAGGGAGGGGGATATCTGTGGTTTCCTCGTTATTTTTATATTCTAAAATTTTCTCTTTGTTAAACTCCAATTTTCAAATCATCTGTTATGTTTTGTTTTCTGCAGCTTCAAAAAATACAGGAGATGCACAGTGAGACTAACAGCTGAATGAGCTTTCTTAAAGGCTAAAAGTTTACAGTTTATTGTGTTATTTAGCTTTTCTTCGTCTAGGAGAACGGGATGGCAGGATGATGTTCTCATCGTTTTTCCTATATATAAGTCTCTGATTACCTTTCTGCAATTAATGACCTAACACTAATCATGATCAGTACAATAAAAGAATAACTTTCATGACATGAATGAAAATGTTAAATTTCGGAATTTTATTGCAGTTACTCTCTTAGAGAAGCAAAAGACATTTGTCTGTTATTGATTTATCTATTATTGCCATAAGCATGAACTAATTGTTTCCTTGATAATTTCTGGTTACTGTTAATTTTATTCAGAATCAATATACTCCTCTACAAGTGTACATTCAGAATTAAGGTTCAGACTGAAGTTTAAAATATTTTACTAACTTATCTGAAAAACTATGTACTTATAAAACCGTGTCTTTTGTGTTATTTACAAGCAGCTGATGTTGGTACAAAATAAAATGAAAAATGAAACATAATTTCTTTAAGTTCTTCTCTTTGAGTTCGCACATTACAGCACAGTACCCGTCGTATACCCTATAAATATAATAAGATAAGTAGGTGGGAGCATTCTGTTACAAAGCGCTGTGTAGTTCGCTCAATGGATATACAGTACCTATACTATTAAGAATTTGACAAAAATTTTTATTTTTGTAATTCACAATCCGAAATAGAGGAAATACTAACTAATAAGAAGCAAGATGAATACTGAAAATCCATTACCTCTTGTTGCTGCTCCACATTTGCATCGAATTGAAGAAAAGTGTCATGCCCATAGCTATCGACGTGAAGGACTATTTTGACATGCGGTGTCTCCGACACAAAAGTCTTTGGAGAATCGATCTCTCCGCAGTAGTAACCAGGATCTTCTTTATTACTGTGGTTTGAGTCTCTATAGCCATCAATGATCTGGACATATCCGCCTATGCATCGCCGTCTGTCTTCAGTCGGTTCGCCAACGCGCATGCGTGTGAAGCGAACAAAGACGACCCAGTCGTTGCGAGCAGGTCGAACCCTTATGCGGTAAGAGCAGTGCAAGGGTCGGTTGCGATTCTCATCATTCACAGGTGGGCTTGACACAGCTTGGTAAATATCAACAGTTCGATTGCAATGCTCATCATCTTCTAAAAAGCAATATGCAGTCCTTAAGAACTGACAGTATACAGTTGAATAAATGATAACCAAACACTTGACTAAATGATAAACAGAAATTGATTTTACGTATTTTTATTTGAATAAGCTTTAAAAACCAAATAATCTACTTCATCTAATTGTTAAAAATTTGTTTTATGTCGGCGTATGATATATTATTATGGTATAAACATTACTAAGTACAGTCTACGATTCCTTTTATAGTTCATTGTTTGAATAGAAACGATCCCGTGCAAGTTCTAATCTAGTCCTAATTTTTTCTTACATTTGCCTAGTGCAAAAATATATAGCTATAAGGTATATTATTTAGATCATTATAAAAGTTTTGTGATTTCATGACCTATAGTGCCCTATATTTGGGTGAAGAAACTTTGCAAAAACCAGTGAGCGGCCTAATACTGTGTTGCACGTAACGGGATTGCAGTAGATGAACAAAACTTTAAAGAATGCTCTAGATAGTTATGTATTAAGATTGAGAACTTCTTCTGTAGGAATTAAGGATTTTAGTATGAAGTTGAATTGAAGTGCAATATCAAGTTGTTTACTTTTCTCTGTAATTAGGAATACTTATTTCTGTCGTGTTAACTGCAGGCTGGCTCAAATACTTTTTTTCTTGCTCATCGCAGTTTTCCATGCCACTTGATAAAGCTCACATTTTCTGGGAGTAGTAATTTGACTAGCAAAGTCGCAGAATTCTAATTAAGTTCAATAAAATCTTCAAGTTCTACAGTACTGCTTATGTTTTGAAATGCTTATGCTTTCTAAAAGAAATTTTAATATTGACATTGCGACAAATATTTTAGTTTGAAGGAATCATTTTTAGTGTAAGAACTTTGTTAACGAATTGACGTGTGGTAGTCCGAAGTATTGTTTTTACCAATTCATAATTTGTAGGAAACTGATCCATTTTTGTCAAAATGTGCAAACCGCCGGTCGATGTTTATTACATTAAAATATGTACATCTGTAGCTTTTTGTGTCTGTCATTTGAAACTCACTTGTCAATGAAAATTGTAAAACATTTTCTATATTGAGCAAAAATATCTAACAATCAGAGTAAGTTGAAACTTATTTCAAGAAACATAATTCCTTCTGTTAAATATTTAATATTTTGATCTAGCTTTCCAATTTCAAAGAAAACCGCAATAAAATATTTTAAAAGGTAATTAGATGTTATACATCATATAGCTGAAACTTTGGTGGGCCTTATATTCGGACAAAATTTGTCTAATGCCACTAGACTATTGGCTATTATTCAGCTTATTAAAAAAATCTGAAAGGAATACATTGTTAAATTACTATTATTATTACTACTAATAATAGTGTTTTTTTCCATCAGATACTTCAAATACAGAAACAGTACGAAAAATAAGAACGCGTTTTTTATATATTGTACAGAACGCCCATGGACACTCAGCATATTTTTATTGGCTTAAGTAAAGTAATCAGTCCTTTTCTTAAGCGAGCTTTTATATACATAAACTTTCCTCGAAAGTTCCATTAAAGTTTTGGAAAAGGCTCATTGACAGTACTGCAATTAACAGCTACCACTTTCTGCACAACATTTTGATTTACGAGAAACTTTCCGGACTGCACTTTATTTACTTCCCGCTAAAATAACCCGAGTAAAGTTTTTTAATAGTAGTTTATTATTATTTCCCCTTTCTCTTTACTCTGTATCTTCCTGTGTAGTCAAGCATACTTAACGAGATTTTGTTCCGCACGTCTTCCACTTCTTCCTTTTAACATGATTAGGAAAGTTGGTTTATGATTCGGTGGGTATCAAACGAAAAAAAGGAAGCTTCGTTGCATGCCAAAGTGTGAGGGCCTTCGTTAAGAAAATGGAATGGTTATCTTCCACCTTTTTTCTGCAGGAAGATCATCAGAAGGCAGAACGTCGCGTTTCCTATTGACAGATTCCCTTCGAGGAGCAAAAAAAGAGACCAACCCACTCTTTGCGAATAATGGTGTCGATTGCCATGCAGGCGTGACGCGGATAAAAGCTAAGTGGATGTTATTCTTGTAAGTAATCAGAAGCTTTGAATAAGTGCATTTGAGGCTCTTACTAAATTGATCTTTAGGCTTAATAATATGCATTTTATAAGCGAAATTTCGTACTGCTTTTTATTTTGTTAATACCTTTTCACTGGATGAACTATTAAAGCATAATTTATTTATTTTATTGTTCGATTCATCCTGTGACAGGCTAACTATTGTGAAGAAATGTTGTTACAGGCAGTTTAGTCATGTGATATTTCAAAAGAATTTTTATAATATTTCTTTTTAATAGATACCTTATTCTGTCGTGTATAAGCCGCACCTTTTCCCACAAAAAAGTCAGAAGGAAATTAGGGATGTGGCTTACACACTCGAGCGATTAGAAATAAGCACATTCAGGCATATGGCAACACAGCAGCAATTTCAATATTAAATTTCAATATTAATAAATAGCAGGAATATCCAATGCTCTAGACGGTTCTGGGAATGACATTCTGTGAGAGACCGGTATAGATCTAGGGATGCCGAAATTTCAGGCGACCGCTCTAATGGTACCGATAGTAGCAATGAATAAGAGTTGCTAAGCAGAGAAACATATTTATTTTGATTGGTAATAAAATTTTTGTCTTAGTTGTATGACTGGTATAAGATATTTTCCCACTTCCCTAGGGTGCCTTCTTGGTGTAACGGTAGCATGCTGGCCTGGTATTCCAGAGGTCCGTGGTTCGATTCCCGGCGAAGGCGATTGCTAATTTTTCATCTCTCTGGCTTCCAAAATTAACCTAATGACTCTACACTGGTACTGCTTTAATTTTAGCTGCTTTTGCATTTCCAAAACGAAATAAGTAATGTAGGGGGTAGATAGACTATCAGCAGCTTATTCTCTAGATTTTGTTTTTTTTAAATTGGTGGAGAAAACTAAGGATGCGTCTTATATAAAAGAAAGTATAGTACGTTTATTTCAGACCATCAGTAAACATAAACAGGTTTTCCACACGTTGAATTTCGCACTTTTCTCCCAATTCCGAGCACAAACCATCCACAGATGTTGGCCACTTGCTAAGGCCAGAAGCGGTGGTACTTTATTATGGAGGCACCTAGTAGGTGGTCCACTTTTGCATCCTATGAGAGGACTGACAAACACAATCATGCCTTCTTCAGGATTCGAACCCGGGCTGTTTGGCATCGCAGTTGGCTTTCCTAACCGCTATACTGTCTGGGCGCCTGAATTTCGGACATTTGTTCTTCGATTCTGATTAACAATTGTAAGATATTTCTCCGGCCTTCCTAGCGAGCCTTCGTGTTGTAGTGGTCAGCACACTGAGCCGGTATTTCAGAGGTCCGTGGTTCGATTCCTGGCGAAGGCGTTGATAGTTTTTCATCTCTTCTGCTACAAAAAATACCTAATGTCTCCACACAGTACATTTCTACTACTTCAAATACAGAAGAGATCTATAACTAAATTTAATTAGGAAACTATGATCTGATTTAACTGTAAATTAGTTTTGGAATTTCATTTCTCTGAATGTCTTTTTAATATAAAAGTACTGTATCTTAAAATAAGAAAAAATAAAGGGGAACTTTTTTCCTTAAATTAAAACTTTTCGAATCTTATGCAGAGTAAAACTTGAAAGAAAATTTATACCAGTAGCTGAGTGAAACAAAGAGATTCATTCAGTTATGTTCAATAAGAGGACATTCAGTAGTCCTTCATAGTCTAATAAGCTTTCATTAACAAAGTTAATAAAAATGAGAATTAAGAGATTATTTTAACACCACCATAAAAGAAGAAGAAAAATATACTCGTACATTTACTTTAACACATGAATACAATATGCAATATTAACATGTGATTACAATATGCAGCTAAATAATGTACAAAGGAGAAAGAATTTAATCTGTGTTTCTAATATGAATATTTAATTAATTTTCCTGCATTATCTTTTAAAAACTAGAATACTATTAAACTGGGAACCAATATTCTATCTTGAAAGTAATATTTAAGATAACCCGAACCAACGTTAATTTACTTCGCATGAAATTGTCTGATCAAACTTTCATTACACACATGGCGAGGGGAACCTTGTTAAGACATAAACATTTAAAATTCGAAAAGATGTTGAACAGCTAAAGAGACGAAAATATTCTTCTTTATCTCTGTTTAATTTCTTTGATTTGATTTTTTTTCTCTTAGGTTCCCCACACTTGGAGGACTTGACAAAAATTCGATATCAACGAAATCAGATTTTAAGAACATCGGAAAACGAAATGAATCCGTTTCGTTATCCCCACTTCTATCGCACGGTGTGTTTAACTTAATTATCTTCCGTTATTTAGCGAAAGCACGACACCTCTCTCTATCTATGTACACGGAATTATCCGTTCGGAGGCAGCACGTGTCGAATTTGCTAGCGACGAGAACGATAAGCTGTAGTCCGTGCAATTAGCATACACGAGTACACCGGGTTTCAAGAAAACACGTTTCCGAGCTGAGAGAGAGGATTTTCTCTTCCGCACTAATTAATTCCCTGGAAGCGTGTGGGAAGAGAGAGGAGTTCGGGCGGTAATGATACAGGATTTCCGAACAGTGAAAGGAATATTAATTTCTGTCTCGGAACATTATTAAGCAAGATATGTCCGATTTGATTTCATTGAATATTTTGTACAAAATGCAAACCCTACCTGCTATCTGTATCGACTGTATTTATCGTGTTGCCCTTATATCAATAATCAAATACATTGAATAATAGATTGCTTAAAATGATAATGCTACTTTTTGAATACTGTCTTAAATTCTGAGAAATTATCTTTCGGAAAATATTAGATATTGTGATTTATTTAAGAATTTAATTTTTTTAACCGAAGAATATCTTTGTTTTCCCGTACAAGTGTTACAGAGAAAGTTCGGTATAAGGATATTTGATACTGTACTTCGAGGTGCTTTCGATATAAAACGGAATCGTATTTCGGCACAGCTGTGTGATTAACAGAGGTCAAGAAATTTACGATCATTCATTTAAATTTTTATTATTTTTTAATGTGATTTAGGTTCAGATTATTTTTTCATGTGCTATAAATTAAACAAGAAAAAGTATAGAAAATGTTGATAAATGTTAAAATTTGAAGAAAAAAAGCTTTTTTATATTAATAAAGTAAAATACTTAACAAGTAAATAAAAGGCTGACATTACTCTTTCTGAAACTATGAAATATTCCCCTCCGTGCTGAGAACCTCTGCATTAGCCTTAAGTGACCATAACTCCTTAAGGAGAAGCAGAGAAACTCACAAAAAAATGAGCTTGCTGTAATTTTCCAAGTCTGCAATCGTAACAAACGTTTACATCATTTAACACTTTTAGACTAAAAAATAATTTCTGATTTAAAATTTAAATAAAAGACAATGTAACATTATCGTAAATTTTGAATGAAATGGCATCGATATTTCAAGATGAATAGACATAATGACTCTTTCAGAAGAGAAAGCAACTTTTGATACGTGAAGCTTAATGCTTATAAGCTGATATTCTAAAATTAATAAGAAGCTAAGCCTGTCAATAAACTGAGATTGTTATCAACCGATTTCTCAGTCAAATGAAAAGAAAAATGATGATTATTGGAAAATCTGAGTATATACTGGAAATAACTTGGCTGCTCTGGCGCATTTCCAAGGTAAATTTCTGCATTTTAGTGGGACATTTTTAGACAACGTTTCAAAATTTCTGCTTAGATTTTTTATCTTTATAAAGCTCACCATTTTAATAAATAGTATAAAATAGTATTAATGATATTTGGTGGTATTAAGTGTATACGGTGATTCAGAAAGCAAAGCGGAAATCTATTGGAACCTAAGAAAGAGTATTTTAAAATTTATTACAATTTTTATTTGAACATTTTCAGTACGATGTTCGTCATCCCATACCAATAAACATTTTAACGAATGAATTTTACCTGCTTTTCGCATAATTCCTAATAATGAAATTAAAATTTCATTCTAGTAAAATTATTAAGTAATTAGGACAAGTAACCCGGAGATTCATCAAAATGAAATTAAAGGAAGTTTCAGTTGTCAGTCTGATGTATGACAGAAATGGTCTGTCCATAATTAAACTAAAATACTATTTATAGAAAGAAATGCCTTTGGCTGAAAAAATCGAATCAAAGAACAGTATTAAAGTCAAAATGAGATTAAAGTGATATCACTAGTTATTTCAGAAATGTAAAGGATTATCATACAAATTTATAAGAGAAGTTGTAAAGAAGGACTAGAAGCGTTGGGTTTTATCTTAAAAAATTGATTGAAAAAATTGGATTTGAGAATGAAAGTTGTAAATAAAAGAAATTATTATTATGAAATTCAGCTTTCCATATCACTACCATAACTCGCTAAAAACGATTCCTTTCCTCTTTAGCTTCATTCCAGTTTTGTCCCTGGATTCATTACAAGAACAGCTGCACCATAATAAAATTTTAAGCTGTTGTGCCCAAACAGCGGAAAACTTTCGACTGAAAAGTTAGCTGTCAAGCTTCAATGGAAGAGCTGGATTTACGGACCGGACGGCATCAGTTGACAACCCTGTTAAAGTACATTAAATGTTACATGAAATACTTGATAACATTCTCAAAACTGGACAATGAGTTACAGTTCAGCAAAAATATGGTAGTAAATTCGTTTTAGGGTTTTTTTGTTTGTTTTTAAACTAGAGTTATTGTAGCTTTTTTTCTTTAGCATTAGGTTTTTGAGAGATCTTGCTGGAGGAAGTGACGCCGTACTGCCATACGAACATTTCATTATAACGTCTGGGATCCGTATTCGGACCTTTCGGAGTGCAGTTAGTTTCTGTTAATTTCTGTTACCAAGAGGGATGATAGTTAAAAATAACAAAGATGTTATTTAGATGATTTTTGTTATTATTTAAAAGCATTGACCTCAACAAAGCTATTTTTTGTTTTAAAATTTATGGTTTAGGGTTCCAGCCAATATTTAGTGATAACCTTGAATTATGATAGAACTAAAATCATTTCTGCATTTGCTAAAAGATTATTTTTGGCTGAACATATTCGAAAAACAAACATGCAAATAAGCTAAACACACACATAAAAACACTCAAGTAAGAATACAGGATATACCAGCTATTTATAGAATGTTGCAAAATCAGGTAAAATTTTGTAAACAAAAACCAAATGATTATGTTACATTAGATGCAGGAAAAGTACGACCGTTCAAACATATTTTATTTATCATAATGATGATGCAAATATTCGTAAGAGTATCAGCTTGATACATTAAAAATCATATTAATTAAGATAATTTAAATTACATGCATCACATGTATGTTTAAAAATAAAAACAGACATCATTAAGAAGTGAATATATTTCCTCAAAATCGTGTAGTTTATTAAGCAACTTCAATTATAATTTAAAAGATAAATTAATCGTTTGCCGAGCTGAACACAACAGTCTAAAACTGACTATTTGTCTCATCGCATCGATGATAAAAGCCCTCATTGCAAAATATAACAGGCTCGAAAACAGAAAACTATCTCCGCTACAGATATTTTTAATGCCATTAAAACAAGGCTACTCATCTATCTGTTTAAATTTTTAAATAATTAGGTTTTTTTGAATACATGTTTTATTACAAATAATTAATTTTCTGTTCTAAGAGAAATGGAGAAGATGATGGGATTACTTTCAACCTTTAGGCTAAATGCATTTCCTAAATTTTCTGAAAATGAATTCCTCATCGAAATTATAGGGTAGGCCATTAGAGAGAACAAAAATGCGAGAAAGGCTGGTAAGATACAGGTATATAAAATTGTGGAGCGTTTGTACCCATGTATAAACCAAGAAGAGATGTCTTAGGATATGTCCAAGAAATTCTTCAAACAAGTTGTGTTTTCTGATGGTCCAGTAATCTAATAACACAAACTGTACGTCTGCCATATTTATCCCTATTCCGGCCATGACTAAAAAGTTAATGGGTGCCTTCTATCATTCAGAGCTATATCATCACATCTTCAAACATTAGATGAAAGCAGGAAAACGATTAATTACTTTCTTGCGAAGTGAGAGCAGAAGAGAAAACAGATTTCGTATTCAGCAGTAAGGGTATTTATAGACTCCTTTGCTTCAGTTTTGAATGGTGATTGGACAAGAACTCTACAGCAGTGAGGATCATTTCAGATAAAAATGACGCAGTACAGATTCCATGAAGGGGACGAAGCCGAATTAAAATTAATAATTAAAAAGAAAAATTCCTAATGTTAGCAGTTTTGAGTTTCATATTGTTTTCTGTTACATATTAGATGCAATGATCTAATTCTGGATAAGAGAAGGCACCCATCACCCTTTTATAAATAGAAAATTAATATATATACGTATGCATATGAATTTTGTTGGACTTGACGTTCTTTTTCGTTTTAAAATGTACGATTTTAATGCCTGCCATTAAAAAACTTTAAATATATTTTGGGTTTGTGGAAAATTTTTAATACTTGTTCGACAGTCTTCTTTAAGTATTAACATCTTCTAATTTGAGTTTGCAATAATTTTACATTTCCTTTCGTAGCAGATAATCATAAATAAAAAATGAATAATTAAATCTATCTATCTATATGTAATATTGTGGTAATCAGGCACATTAATGACGATTCAGATAAATATAAACAGAAGTTTCTAAACGTATAAATAAATATCAATAAAATGATAGATAAAATAAAGGTAATAAACTAAAATTAAAACCGATTAAAAGTTTCACTTAAAGCTGCTGAAGTTGATGGTAAAACAAACAAAAGAATATTTTAAAGAGAAGAATCAAACCTTTGTTTTTCTCAACCAGAGAGTGAATAACACGAAAAAATAATAAAATGTCTTCATATTTATTTAATTTTCATTATATAGGTACATATTCAAACTGAATACAATTACAGACTTCATCCTCCTTAGGATTTTATACTCTTTTCCCATTCATGCTTTTTTTTTTTGTTACGTATAGATATATAGATAACTAAGAAGGAATGAATTGAAAGCCAAAAAGAATTTGTTACAGGTATTTTAAAATAAATTAGCTTCAGTTGTAGGTTTTAAAATAATGGCAGAAAAAGCAAAGCTATATAGATGCTGAACAAGACAAGACAGGAAATTTAAAAAGAATACATTACACATGTAAAGCTAAGTCAAAAAAAAAAAAAAAAAAAAGGAGCAAGGAAAGAGTTTTGAAAATGTCAACTTTATACAGAAGAAGGAGAGTAAGCGTCTCTTAGATGGTATAAACAGAGAACGTATCTCACCTGGTCTGTACACAACATCCGTGGACACGGCCACTGCCAGCATCACCAGCATCATGACCCTCATGTTCAAAACGTGTCGTCCGGGGCACGAGGGAGTCCGTGCCCCGCACTGACCTCTCAAGGGGGTGGGTAAACGAGGGCTCGGAAGCGGTCCGGACGCGAGAGAATCCGGGAAGTATTCGTTGCTGCTGTCATGGCCGTTCGCTATTGGGCGCATGCGTGGAGGACTATCGACTGCGCCTAGGAACGTGAAGGAGTGGGAAAGCGGAGGCTGGAAGCGCATTTTTCTCGTCGGAAGCATTGTGTTACTGGTCTTGCTTTATTATCCTCGGATCTTTATGAATGAGATTAAATGCAGTACAGGCACTGAATACTTTCTTTTTTGTTACTTCTTTTTTTGTACGATAAACGCAATAGCTAATAATAGTAAAATAGGCGTAAAGTAAATCCATTTTTATCGTTCATCTTTCATAAACCTAAGAGCTATTAAAAAGTAAACATCTCTCCTGTGAAAAACATTAATTAGGCTATGTAATTAGATATTTTATCGCCGGTTATAAACATAATAGAAAACTCTGCAGTTTGTGTTGTAATCCATGTAATTAGTTTCTGTTTATTACTTGGAAGTTTGGAGTAGACAATTTCACTATTAATATGCTTTCTCTTAGATTTAAAAATATTTATCGAACAGGGACGGTATGAAATAAAATTGAGATGTCTTCGGTGTGCAAAAGGAAAAGAAAAAAATACGTCATATGGGATATAAAATGAACATTTCCCTCAATTTTTTCACATTAAGTTAGAGGAGAAGAAACGAACTAGATTTGCATTTTTGTATCTCTTGCGCTCACCGTTACAGAAATATATTTTTTAATTTTATGCATTAGAATATTTATAACTATTTAAATTTAATGTTGATCAAGTTAGATATTTCATTAATATTATAAAAGTAGTTGATGGATACATAAACATTTTTTCATAGTATGCTGATGTCTAATGGGCATCGTATTTTGTACAGATAAAATATATTAATGCACTTCTTTTATTATTATTGATTATGCGTTCCTTTTTTCCACTTCATGTGATTGCTGAAACATTAATAAAACTAATTATTCGTTTTTTTTTCATTTCTGTTAATGTTAAAAAGTGATTATGGTTGCTTTATGTTTGAAGTAGTGTAATTAGAAAAAAGAATTTAGAAACTAAGGAATGAATTTTTGTCGAAATGGATTTCATCGGAACGAATGAATGGATAAAGAATAAAAAGGCGGTAAAAATAAATATAAATCAGAATCTAAATATTTCCAGGCTTCTTTAATAAATATTTCACGAGAAGTACTATCTTTAAATTACAGTTCCGTGTGGTTTATTTTATGTCACAATAAACTTAAAACTTTTACCGAAAAATTAACATTACAATTTAAATTTGTGGATTGTTAGAACTCATGCTAACTCTTATGTCGAACAATTTCTTAGCATTAGATAAGCTACAATGCTGGTAAATTGATAAAAATGGGAATGCTCGAATGGTGGATATAGAGATGGAAAAATATATCATAAATATCATTAGAAAAAATCTGATGTGGACACCATATGACTTCTTTGTATGATCTATTAAATTGTACACATTTTTTGTTGCACTTCATTTAAACTTCTTTCCGTGAATTATTCTAATTTAATTAACAGATTTCTCTAAGCAAATTGAAACTGACATAAAAAATTGACAAATTTTGAAATTGAATATCTCAAACAGTTTTCGTTTTACGGTACTCAAAACTTCTTATAAATTAATTCTTTTATAATGAATATAAAACTTTCTCAAATATAAGTATAGGAACCGGCAAATCGTATTAAAAATTAGATTTCGTTATTTATTAAAAATTAATACTTTTTAAATTTATTATTGCTAAAATAAGGGCATTTTTGTTATTTTGAACATTCTGTAACTGGAAATATATGACTAGACTAAAGATTGCGAGATTAAAGGCCACGTAAGGCCTTTTAACCCAGGTTGTTTATATATGTAAATAATTCTTTTTGCCGTTATAACAGCCTACTGTGTAGTAAAAGGGGGAGTTCAGGTGGTGCTGTATTAAAGAGCATGCAACCTCCTGTTCTCGAACTCAGAGTTTCCCAAAGTTTTTAAACAACTTGTCATTATAAGTGCAAATAGCAGGCAACAGTTATATAATTTCTGTATAGCTAATTTTTTTAAAACACAAGAAGATATTTCCATTAAAACTGGAGGTAACCCAGCCGATTGTTGCATTTTTTCTTCTGACAAAAGCATCGCAAATACAAGTAACTCTCGTATAACACAATAGATAGGTTCCTAGAAAATGCCGTGTTGTGTGAACCCGTGTTGTATGAGACCCAAAGCCAGTATAAAAAAGGGGATTACGTTCCGAAAACTTATTAAAAACAAATATTTTTTTAATAATCAACAGAGAACGTTTTTTCGGTGAAATAACATCGCTTTCACTTTCAGCATTGCTTTCTTCATTTAAAGTTCTGGCATTTTCTTTGCTCTTTAAAAACTCTGTAGCTGTACTTTGCTTACTAGTTCTTACCGGGTCCTTTTAAATTTATCGATATAGAGCTAGACAGTTTTGCAGCTCTCTTTTGAATTTTCGGCTTATTTCAGCGGAAGAATCACTGAAGAAAAGCACCTCAGAAGTGATTTGATTTACAGCTTCGGATGCCATTTCTATCAAATCTTCCGTCAATTTCGTCTTCTGCTAATAAATCCTGAACGTCCTCAATAGCCATATTCACAAAACCTTCGTCTTCGATTTTAGCAAGTTCTAATATGCCACCAATTTCATTTTCTGACGATTCATGCATGTTTTCTATTTAAACTGAAGAGGGCCATATCTTCTTCTAACATGCTTTCAGTTCAATGTTTTCAGTTCTTTCAGCGACAAAGATACGATGTCGATTCAGTTCTTGATTTGAAAATGTCTTCCAAGCTTCCATTACATTAATTGATTTTGAATCGTTTACGTCTAAAATCTACTGTAATGCTCTTCCTGTATAATATGTTTTAAAGATATAAATAACGCCTTGACCCAATGGTTTGAGAAACGAAGTAGTGTTGCAGAGACATTAAGTATTTTCTGAAAGCGAGAGAGATGAAAAATGAGCAACGCCTTCGACGAGAATAGAACCACGGACCTCTAGAATACGCGCCCAGCGTGCAGACCACTACACCACGAAGGCACGCTAAGAAGGCGGGAGAAATACCTTATAGTGTTAGGTGTTAGAAACAGTATTTTAACATTGGGATGATTCAAATCTTGTGGGTGACATGGAGCATTACCTAATAGTATTAAGCACCTTGAAGCTTAAATTTTCTGCCTTAAATAACGTTTAGCGTCTAGCACAAAACAATTTAAAAAACAATCTTTAAATATATTCCCAGCTAACCAAGCTCTTGGATTTGCTTTTCAATATACCGGTAAGTTGTTTTTATTTACAGTTTTAAGTGCATGCGGATTTAAAAATCTATAAACTAACAAGGTTTTTGTCATAAAGTCCAAAGTCATACTGCACAAAAGTGGCTTTAGACAATTTTTAGACACCTTAAATCAGGATACAGTTTTCTTTATTGTTTCGATACAAAGGTTCTACTGGGCATTTTTTGTTTCCACCAAAGCCCAGTTTTGTCGGCAGCGAAAACTACGTCTTAGCAGCTTCATAATCAGCCGATGCAGATTCTTCTGGAATTCTTATGCTATGAATAGCAAAACGCTTTTTGAATTTTTCAAACCAACCTTTACTTACCAGAAAATCTGGTTTGACAGAGGGTTCTCCATGTTCTTTGAGGTGCTTGAAAATTTTGAGTGCTTTTTGTTTAATGATATTACTATCCAACGAAATTATTTATTGACAGCTATCATCAATCCAAATGCTGAGTGCCTTTTCCATCTTCTCAATTATTGGTGCCCCCGGAGGCCAACTGTACGATTTTCGGATGTCGAAGATCCAGCAGCAACTGCACTTCTTATTTCTTTTCATTTTCCTTAATAGTCCGGACTGTTTCTTCATTCCAATGAAAACTTTTTCCAATGTGAGATGCCTTTTTCTCCTTTTAAAAAGCGGTCCAAGATTTGTATCTGTACTTCTAAAGAAATGAATTTCCTCTTAACCGTTGTTTTTTTTTATCTTTATCGGACATGTTTGGGGACTGAAACTTAATGCCATAAAGACGAAAAAGTTATTCTTTTACACACCGTGGCTCTACACAGACTGCCGACCAGCAGCGTGAGACATCAGGCCATGGGCCATGGAGGCCATGGAGACGAGGATTCGAATTTTGGAAGCCGAACGTGCAGGTTGTGCGTTTCAGAGCACTTATTGTGACCTCATGTTGATTACCTTCTGGGATAGTGAGGTTTCTTCATTGTTATCTGGGGACTTTTGTTCATACGGGTCATCTGAGGACATTTGTTCGTACGGGTAGCGGATCTTGGAAGACAACTGGCAGAACTTACGGAACAAGGATTCTTATGTGTTAAATGTTTATATGTTAAATGCTTTGCACAAATATGGAAAAATTTCGTGCGGAGTTCGTTAAATTTCTTCGATTGCTTGGGCAATTTTCTTATCATGCTAGAACGAAACCGTGTTGTAGGAGGGTTACCTGTACTTATTTTCTACAGCTTATAGTAAAGAAAAGCGGGAGCGCAGAGCGTGCTAAATTAAACGTATCCTGGAACTTTCATTTTTCCAAAGATTTTAAACTTCTTGTCATTATTAGGTAACAGTTACATAATTTTTACATATAAAAGCGCAAGAAGATACTTCGGCCACTAAACTCGTAGTAACACCACCTTATTGGTGCTTTTTTTTTCTGACGAAATCATTGCAAATACTTATTCCTGCCGTGGTTAAACCTACAGTGTACTGAATGTGGGAGTTTAAAGGGTGTTTTTTTAAAGTATGCAATATAATGGACTGGAACTCTCCTTTTACCACTAGCAATAAAAAGCGGAGATCCACAAATAGATATTATAGCAGTTCCATATACAAAATTTCAAAGCTTTACGGCTAATCGTTTTTGAGTTATGCGAGATCCATAGGTACATAACATACCTACAGACTTCACGAAAAATTCCCTTTTGAATCCATTTTAAATCCAGTTTGCAATCCGTTTCGGAAAAATGAGTCCTATATTCTGTCAGTACATACAGACGTTCAGAAATACAGATATAGAA